CAAAGAAATAAAAATATCTAGGAAACACCTTAAAAAGTCCTCCACATCCTTAGTAATTAGAGAAATGCAGATAAAAACCACTTTAAGCTTCCATCGCACCCCAGTCAGATTGGCAAAGATCAAGAGAATGAAAGACTCCGAATGCTGGAGAGGCTGTGATGAAAAAGGAATGCTCACTCACTGCTGGTGGGATGCAAACTCGTGCAACCCCATGGAAAGCAGTGTGGAGAACCCTCAAAAAGCTAAAACCGAATCTACCATTTGATCTAGTTATACCACTCCTTGGCATACACCCAAAGGACTCATCCTACTGTAGAGTTACCTGTGCATCCATGTTTGCTGCTGCTTTCTTCACAATAGTTAAGAAATGGAAACAACCTAAATGCCCCTCTACTGATGAATGGATCATGAAAATGTGGCACATTTACAATGGAGTTCTACTCAGCAGTAAGATGAAATTATGAAATTTTCAGGTAAATGGATGGAACTAGAGAGTATTATACTAAGTAAAGTAACACAAATGCAGAGATGCAAGCAACTTATATTCTCCCTAATTTGGGGATTATAGCACCAATCCCTTAAATGTGAATATATAAATTAAGATGTAAGACCAGCAGTCAGGAAAATGGAAAGGATACGTAGAGGTAAAGGAAAAGAAAGATCCTGAGAAGGGTTAGTAGGGAACAGATGTTACTGGAGGGGAGGTCGGGAAAGTGGGGGTGTTCTGCAGGGAGGAGAGGAGGGAGGGACATGCAAGGGGCCCTGGTGCTGTGGAGGGAGGGAAGTCAGGAGAGGGAGAGTGGTGGGAGGTGGGTGGTACTGGGTGGAGGGTGGAGATCATGGGAGCACTGTGATTAGGAAGGGAGGGAGGGAGGAGGGAGGCTGGATGGGAGAATAAAGACTAAATATGAATGAATCTTGGACTAAGAAACCTAGAGGGCAAAGTGATGCCCTTGAAACCCTATAAGAAATGCATATACAGTGTCTGAACATTATTGTATGTGTTTACCTGGGAGCCGCTTGGGAAGGAACACAGTGCTAGACAGGAGAGACCTCCCTTTGAGTGGTTGTTGAGGGTGGTCCAGGAGACTCCCAAAATAACACAATCTATTGCCGAAGCTCTTGGTTATCTCCCAGGACTAGTAGATAAGACCCCATTGATGAAGACAGGACATACTTCAGATACAGGACTTGAAGCAATGGAGCAGAAATTGACCTGGAAGTCTTTTAACTGAAGTTTGGCTATTATAATGCTAGATGATAATATGCAAACTGCCAAGGTAGAAAAACTATCAGTGGTTCAACCCAGCTCTAAAGCCTAATAACCACAATGACTGGCATGGCAAACTACCTCTATTGGTGCAGTGGTGGCACTGTTATCTGAGGGAGGGGGGCCTATCAGCAGCTATCTAATTAGACTCAACGCTCCCTCAATGGGAGTGAACTCATGGGTGGTACTGTATAAACTCAGTCAAATACACGTGGTAGGAGAGGACTTAGATCCTAGAGAAAATCTGATCAAATGAAATTTCTTACTATCTGCTGAATATTGATCCTCATTTTACATACAAGCGTACCATACACCACTCATCAAAGAAGCTTCTTTTTGTAACAGATGGAGGCTACCACAGAGTTGTACAACTGGTCAGACATGGAGAATACACATCTGAGAGATGCCCAGTACTAGGTGACACATCTACCGTTGAACCTGTACAACTAAGGCTCATGGAACACAGCAGGCAAGAGGTAGAGAGAAAACTAATGCATCCTACAACTCACCAGCAAAGGTCCCTTATACAACAGAGGGCAATGTACACAGAAGGCCACAAGTGGCCAAGTTTTAAAGAATTAGAGACTGCAGAGTGTATCCCTGACTAGGACTCTTATGTTGAACCTCATCCACTCATAGGTCAGGGACCATTGCAAAAGAGGGGGTGGAAAAACTGTAAGAACTAGGGCTGGTTCATGAGCACAGGGAAGCATTGTCTTTCAGGCCACACATGTACACGTGTGAACTTGTGGAAATGGTGGCATCTAGCATAGGACCCATGCCAACTCAATAATACAAGGAGAGGAGAGAAATGGGTGGCAGCTGGCCCTAGGCTGATGACTGTTGGAGACTTGTTGCTGCCTTACACACAATTGTGGGCTGACTAGACTCCAGTGGACGAATTTACACTGGGGGACATCTGGGTACAAATGCTTGACTGGATAGGACTTACTATGTATGTTGGAATACATGAGGCCCTGTGAGAGAATGGTGGGGAAGGGGGTCTAAATTCGATTAAGAATTGCTGTATGAAAATACAAAAGCTCAATAAAAAGTTTAAAAATACATTCACAGTGGGACATGACATATACACTGAAAAGGAAAGAAAACCTTTGAAGATAATATTAATTAAACATAACTACTTCTTACACTATTAAATTGCATATATGGTTGTTCTTTGCTTATTTACAAATGGAAAATTAAAATTTTGTTTTGTTTTTAAAACTGAGAAAAGAAAAAGAAAACGGTACTTTGGTTTCTAACGATCATCTGTGCTTAGCCTCCTGTCTCTGTGGGCTTTGCTTTGACCAAAGACAGTGCATTACAATGTGGAAATCTCAAATCTAAGTGTTTCAAAGCTCGCTGAAATAACATCACTATCTGATGACTTTCCAAAAGATGCTATAAGCTATGCACCTTAATTCTCTGATTCACAAGCTTCGAAATGCAATGTTCTATTCTTGGATTGGAAGTTGGCATTATTTGACAAAGCATTTGTTGTTAACTTTGATTTTTTTTATCATAATAAGTCTTTATTCTTAAAAAGCACAAGGAAACATTAGAATCCGCCACACGCACACACATTGTCTTCACTTATTATTTCTTCAAGGTTAAACTTGAAACTCATATTTATATATATGCAATCACCGAGATTCCCCTTTACATCACCATTTTAGCTCTCAGGCCTACTTGTGTCACTGGGATCCTTGCCTGCCCCAGATCTGTATTCCCTGAGACTTACTGTGGTAAGTTCTTTCTGCTATCTCAGATCTCAGTCTTCTTGGTCGCTTGATCCTTGGGTCCCCAGGTCTGGGACCTACCTCAGCCTGAACTATCAACCAGTCTATTCACCTAGCAACCACTCAGGCCACACTGCTGATCCAGGACTCTGTGAAGTCAGTCTTGAAACCTTAACTCAAAAGTTGCATCTATCCCTAGCTTAACTGAGACCACTTATACACCCCATTTGCATATCAATATAAACAGGACCCCAAACTGAATGCCAAGCACCACTTGGTTGAGCCATAACACAAGTTGGGAAAAGACAAAGATGAGATCACCCATTACCCTTGATTTTTAAAAAGTTTGTTTAATGATATTTCTGCCAGTGGGAAGAGATTTCCACACCCCACATCTGTCACTCATATGCCAACAGCCACTGAGCTTCAAGCTCACATGGCTCTGACTCAGGCTTTGATTATATAATCTTCAGATTCATGGAAGAACAACTTAACCTTTGGTGTGTGATCCCAGGACTGTGGGAATCTGTGGAAGTGCTCTGACTTCCTGGAAGTTTTGCTGAAATGTTGACTCCTACTAGAATACGATTGCTGCCTCTCCCCAGGCCTGACTCCCCGACAACATGTAAAGGTAGTAAGGAGACAATTTCCCAAGGTATTATTCATCCTATTTCAAGGTCCAGAAAATATGTGATTCTTTTCATCTTTTGTGGGAGTAGGAGGAGTCCCGCCCCAATATTAATGAAACTAATGAACAAAAAAAATGTACAAAGTATTTTTCTTTCATAAACAAGCTGATCACATACAACCCAGATCAGAACTACTATCCAGCCAAACATGTATGTGTTTTAAGATTCCAAGACTGTTTCCCATCTGTGCTCTAAACCTGTGTCATATGTCATGTAACAGGTGTTTTCTATTATTCCTCTCTTCAGCTCACTGCATGTTGTTTCTCGTGTCTTCTGGAAATTAGCTTGTCTGTAATCAGAAATCACTTCCACTACAGCTCAGTGCACTCACTGCAGATGTGGCAAATGCTTGTTTACGGGGCTGGTAATTGGATTAAAACATCGAAGAGAAATAGAAACGGGGAGTGTATTGAAAAACGAGAAGCATGCCATGAAAATCAACAAAACCAAAGTGAATAAAAAAGTTCTAATGAATGAAATTGCTATTAACTAAAATTCACTTATCAGTGGCACAAACTCCAGAGTCTGGGGTCCTCAATATTCAATTAAAATCCTAAGAATCGGAGGAAAAAATCCTAAGAATGTGAAGAGTATTTCTATGAGGAAACCTGAAAGTCATTGATTAGTGTCTGTGTACCTTCTAAAATGCCTTGAAATATAGGCTGTGGGCAAATCGCCCTTATGTCTGGATATAGAAATACATTAGTGGGGAAAACTTCCCGAGTTAAATTATTTAAGAGAGAAAATTGATTACTCTTTTGAATTTAATAGCTTAAGCTCAAGGAAACAAGTGTCTCTTTGCTAAGCTTTCTTTTCTTAGTGTTTTGATTAGTTATGAGGACAGGCGGAATGCAGCATCATGACCCTGATGTGACATTGTGTCCTTTCAGGAATGGAGTCGATATGCAATCGACAGATTCCAGTCTGAAAAGAATATCCATAGAATTACTTTTCTGAATATGCTTCTAATCACCCTTTTAAAATTCCCCCCCACTTTTTAAAAAAAAGAAGTTAATGACTTGAAGAAACAAAATACCTTACAATAAAACCAAACCTATTATAATGTGAGAATCTGAAATAAAACAGTGATCTAGTATAAGAAATGCCAGTAACCAACCACAGGCATTCTCATGTGAACAGGATGCAAAGGTGCCATGGGTCATACTCAGCAATAAACAGAACCCAGAGGAGAAAACGCCCAAGAGAAGGAATGTTTATGGCCCAGGAAGTATCAAAAGCAGAAAACCAGAAATGAGTGAAATACCATTGCTACCTTTTCAGAAGAGCCTCTGCACCACGCACCTTGGGTCTGCAGAATAGGCTGCCCTTACCTGGGGGCCCAGATCACTCCTTTCTGCAGCGGTGTTGACCTAAATAAAAAAAAAAAATACAAGTACTGAAGTACAGTCTTTCAATTTGAGAAAGCTATTCAGTATAGACCCATAATAAAAATAAACGTTGGAATGGAGTTCTGCTCAGCAATTTAGTGAGTGAGATGCATCCTGAGTTGTTTGTTTACAATGGCCTAATGTGAAGGTAACAGGAGAGTTTCAGCTGCAGGAAAACTCAGTCTTCATCAAAGTGAAACGGTGTTGCTGCATTAATGATTTCTAATTTTTATTGCTGGCGTTGGTCTACCCTGCCTAGGGGATGCCCGATAGCCACTGTTATTTTACCTAATTGGGTGGGAAGAAAAACATAAAGGTCCATTTTCTGCTGCAGAAATTCTATCTAGGGACTCATTATGAGAGATACTATGAGAATCTTCTTAGTCTGTTTTATTTAGGTAACAAACCTGGAACATCAACTGGTTCTGCACAGATACTTACTGAAGTCCATTTGCCATGTATAAAACACAGACACACACACACACACACACACACACACACACACACCAAGAAAAGATAATTGGATTTTAAAATGCTTTAGATGATTTACAGCTAATTTTCCAGATTACCAGTGGTATTAGATGGGTGGATTAGAAGTCATTAAGAAGAGCCTATTACAAATGTTGGAATCAAAAGTAAATTCTGGAATCCCTGAATCCATTATCCTATGCCAGGAGTTGGACTGTAGTCCATAATCAGGACTATAGTCTGTGATGCAAGTCCAACATACATCTTGTTTTTACATGACTCAAGAACCAGAAATTGCCTTGGCTTTTCTAAATGGTTGAAAAAAATCAAAAGAAAGCTATGTCTTGATGTGTGAAAATTTTATATGAAATTCAAATTTCTGTGTCCATGATGTCTAATTGGCATTCAGCCACATACTTTTGTTTGCATACTGTCAGTGCCTACTATAGTAACAGTATTGAGATACTAGAGAGGAGAGGGCGCGGTCCACACATCTGAAAAGAGCTTCTGACCCTTTAAGAAGAAAATTCTGATTCCTGGCCTCTCCTGTAATTGATTTCAGCTTTGTTGCGGGGAATGGGAAGCAATATGAGGAGATCCGAAATATTGAGGCCAATCAATAAAATAGGTGACTGATAGGCTTCACAAGCTACTAAAACAAAAGTGTGTTTTGTTCTGGGGTTATCTAAATCCTCAGAGCAGATCAAGAGAGCGCACTCATACACAAATGGAATCCTTGGCAATCCAGGACAAGAACTGTGGGCTGTCTTTACTACCGTAATATTGATACCTATGAAATGCCTTTTTTGATTAAGCCTTCAAGAAAACTCTTTTTTAAGAAATTGTTTTTATTTTTATGTATATGAGTGTATTGCCTGCATGTATGTAAATGTGCTTGTGTTGTGCAATGCCTGTGGAGGTCAGAAGAGGGTGTTGGATCCCCTGGAACTGGAGCTATGTACAGTTGTTTTCCACCTTGTGGATACTGGGAACCAAACATGGATTTCTGCAAAAGCAGCCGGTGCTCTGTCTTAATTGCTGAGTCATCTCTCACAGTCTTCAAGAAAATTCTTAATATTTGCTAAGAATATGAACTCAATATGGAGTAAATAGAAATAACCCTCAAAATAACTATAATATGTAAGTGAATATTATCATCTATCATCTATCATTTATCTATCAATCATCTATCTATCTATCTATCTATCATCTATCATCTATCTATCATCTATCTGTCTATCATCTATCTATCATCTATCTATCTATCTATCTATCTATCTATCTATCCATTTATCTATCTAACCAATCATCTATCAATCATCTACCTGTCTAAAAATAGAGGTGGGTAGCTATCAAATTAAATTCTGGGAATATGAGTGCTTGATTATAAGTAGCTGTTAAGATGCATGTATATCTCGTATGAAGTAATATTATGAGTAAAAGAGAGAAAAATACTTTGACGTCTGTTAAATGAACAGACCAATCACTCTAAGTCAACGAAATAGTTTTGCAACTAATCTGTCTCCCTGGTCAGCTCAGGGGGAAGAATACATTTAAGCTGAAGACGGCAACTTGCTAGGTCATATTTTTAGGTGACTGTGATGAAAAGTCACCCAGATAGACTGTCACAGCCGATTCCCGGCCATTGTGTTATCCAGCCACATGTCACCTCATTGTTCTTACGGCCCTATGTAATCACACCACTCTCATCGATCAGTGGCTTGTTCCAGTCAACTGAATGACTCAATCAAATTGACCCTGAACAATTTGGTTCATTGCTTAACAGATAGCAGAGGGATTTCCTCAAAGCCCGAGTCAGTTTTATTTGGGCTACTTTAAAGTGCCACTTGTTCCTTACAGAGAACATGATGTAGAGAACAAACCACTGGGTAGCAGTCCTATCGTTTCTGGGACACCTCAGCCACACAATGGATGTTCTCAACTCTTATGGTGGGTTATCAGTCATTCAGTGGCACTCGAAGAAACTCTGATTCTTCAGTCCCATTTTAGAAGTGTTGATTCAGTGCTTCGTATTGGAGCTCTGCTCTGCGAATATCTGTTTTTGTATAGTTTGTGTATGAAATATTCCCCCTAGGCCCACATGTTTGAAGAGTGGGCCCCCAGCTAGTGGCACTGTTTGGAGAGGCTGTGGAACTTTTTGGATGTGAGAACTAACTGGCAGATATTGGGCCATGCAGCTAGTCCCTGAGAATTATAGCCTGATCCTGATTCCTCTCTGAGCTTTCTATTTCCTAACTGCTTCCATGAGGTGACTCATACTCTCCAGGCCATCCCTTTCCCTGCTGTGAGGTACTTACTACGCCCACTCAAACCATGAGCCAGAATACCTCCCCAGTTGTTTCTGTGAAGTATTCTGTCACAATGACGAGAAAAATCACTAATATAATTATCCAAGTGACACTGATACTGATGATGGTCTCAGATAACCTTAGGAAAAAAAAAAAACCAAAGCAATCTCTTCATTCTGTAGCCCAAATCTAAATAAAACTGCTTCTGGCTTTCAAAGGGGATGTATACTTTTTAGTATTATCATAGAATTGATGTGCCTATAGCTAACCTTTTCTGCAGCCACATACTTGATGATCTAGTGGAAAAGGTTGCTACCAATGGCCCTGTCCAACAGCCCACAGACACATTTGGCCAGTATATAAATGGTACTCACTATTTTTCTGTGTAATTTTGAGACTGTAAATGATGTGACTATCCAAAGTGTTTCATTACCATCATGTAACTGTATTCTGTAATATCTCCAGAGAATAATATTGGCAGATTTCTTTTCCTTGCCCATACATTGCTCTGGCCATCATCACCATACATCAGTCCAATAAAACCAGGAACAGCTGGCTGAACGGGTCCACTTCTTTTGGACCATATTAAAATGCTTATCTTATTAATAAATGGAGACAAAGTTTAAACCCTTAGCTCATCCAACCCGTAGAATAATGACTGATTATAAAGACATGTTCAATTTAATTGCTCAAATTTAAAATTGGTATTCCTAAATGTGGAAAGACTAAAAGTAACTCTCATTTCCAGTTCTACATGTCAGTCTATCAGAACTAATAGGCAAATCAACAAGGTGTTTTAAATCCACAGGGGAAGTGGGGTCAGGGGTAATTTGCTGCCCCGTATATTGGAGATATATCATTGATAGATACAGAGAGCCATAGCCCACTGAGCAGAACCCTCCATGGGAGCCAGTGATGAGGTAGGGAGCTAGGAATGCAGCCGATGGACTGCTGGAGTCTCAGTGTGGATGAGCCTGATAAATGTAAATGCCAGAGGGACCTAAACACAAGTTCTGTTGCATTTTTATGAATTTCAACTGCAAGTACTTAATTAGGCTCTCAGGATAAATACTGGAGGACAGTCCTCCAATGGTTCTCTGGGACTAAGGGGAAAAGAGAACCACTCTGAAGACTGTCAGGACACTGTTAACACTGCCCCTGGGAGAAACTGGTTCACCAGAGCCTGACCTGGTGGGGTCTGTCGGTGGGGAGATACCCAGCTCCAGCCAGGTTTAGTTTTCCTTTGGGACAGGGGCATCCTCAATTCCAGACCACTGTAGCCATCGCATATCACACTGTAGGTGACAGTGGGGACAGAGACACAGAAACTGTGAGGGTAAGATTCCAGGGGTCTAGGTTCACTAAAGGACTTAGATGGAATCATAGGATTGTTGAATGCTTCCCTACCTCATATTCTTATCATCTGAATTACTGATGGTCTGTTGACAGGAGTTCATTTTACTCAGCATACAATGTCTGATTGCAAGACAAAGCAAAACAAACATGAGGCAAATGAAAAGTTAAAAGCTGAGTGTGAAGAGGCAGAAGCCACCTCAGGACCAGATAACATGGAAATTTAAACAGCCAAATCAGATCCCATCAAAGAATAGGTGGGCAGTGTAAGAAGAGAGGTGGAGATTCTAAGAGAGAACCAAACGATGCTAGAGATAAAATCACTATGACAGGGTGAAGATTGCCTCCAGGACTTACTGGCAGACAAGACTGGCCCGAGGAGAGAATTCTGAGTTTGAAAACAGCTTATTAGAAACACACCAAAACTGTAGAGCAAAGAAAGCAATAAAATATGTAGGAGCTTTGTAACTTCTACAGTTATAAAATATGTGTAACAGCAATACCAAGGAGAGAGAAGGCGGGAGGGAGAGAGGGAGAGAGGGAGGGAGAGAGAGAGAAGGAATGTCTTATACAATCAGAAGCTTAGGAAGTAAGGGATTTTACTTTAAAAATCTGTTTATTCTTATGTGCATATATAATATGTTTCTCTGTGTATGTGCATTTTCTTGTGTATAAATGTGGGTACACACATGACACAGAAAGAATAACCACAAAAGGTCTGTGCATGCAAGAGAAGGGGGGAGGGAGGGAGAGAGAGAGGGAGAGAGAGCAGAAGACTTATTTGAAATAACAGCAACTGAGAATGTCCCCAAGTAAATTTCAGACACCAAACCACAGATCCCAGAAACTCCA